TTCCAACAGCTTCAGTGGATGTGGAAGTGTTGCTGGATCTGCTGCATGGACGAATTCTCTCATAAGTAACAGTACAAGCATTAGTAGTGGCATCCTGTAGATGGACGAGTTTTCGCGAAAAGCATCAAATAGGACGAGAAACGTGGAAAGTGGTATGACTGAATGTGTTGACTATAATATGGAATGAACGTAAAAGTAGTTGTTTGCTCATTTTTGTCCGATAACACTCAAAGTGTGAATAAACATCAATCGTTCCACACAAATAGGTATATGTCCCAGATACTACAATGGAAACAGATAGTAAAAGTAAATTATTTTCACTTATTTAATTTGTATCTGCGCTAAAAACTGCCTTTTCTTGACTCTAGCAAGAATTTACCTAAATCTTCTCAAATCGCGAAGGTAATGAGAAAGCTATAAGAAAGTGAAAACGAGGTCGATCGGTGTGATGACTACAAGAATGTGACGATATGTTCGAATTTGGGAACAAGTGACAATAGCGAGATTTCGAGAGCGAAATGATCGATGCAATCTGTAGATAAACATGGATTTAATCATTTATAATTTCGCCACGAAGGAGATATAGGAAATCTTTTTGGACTACAAGTGATCTTTGCTTTTGTTTTGCTGCTTGGGATTCCAAAAACATTATTACGGAGGAAAACGCTTCGAACAAAAACGATGAACTTTTTAAGTAGAAATAGAGCATTTTTTCCGTTCTAAGTTATTGGTCATAGGAATTGATTTTAGAAAAAGGAGTGAAAACGACATAAGCTTGTTCTACATCTTCAAAACGGCAGAAAATTTTCTTATTCAGAAATATAACCTAAGACACGTAAGCCTAACAAACGGAATAATCTCACTAGATCGGACTGAGAATATTCAGCTTCATTGATTTCTGATTTGATGAAGACCAATATAATTTAGAGGAACAAGGTCACGGAATAAGGCAGAAATATAGATTTCTCTAGGATGTTTCACATATGATTAGACAAATACGATAAATAGTGAAAGTGAACGCCTCTAAGTTATTAGTTTTATTCTGAGCATGAAGCACAATTGGTGATGCGAAATGTCTAAATAGTTCTGAAGAATTTGTAGTGCATTTTATCTT